GTTCCTTTCTTTCACTAGCCGAATTGAGAAAATGTGCCGAAGATTGATAGATGGAGAAGGACCCTGCATTAGATCCACCAGGGTAGAGGTGAAGGATGGATGTGTTGATTGAATTTGATTCAGAGGAAGTTTTTGATGGAAAGTATTTGATTGGATGGTTACATGTCATCTATTTGATTGATTGAATGTATGAGCCATGAATGGTGGTCGTTGAAGTATGTGGAAGAAGATACTGAGTGAGGTGAGGGCTTGTTGTAACCGACAACGGTGAAAGGGTGAAGGTAATACCAAGACCGTTTCTTTTTAACATGTGAAAGGATGTTGCACAAATTCGAGAAAAGAAGAAGGTAAGATGAAGATGACATCTCGTACTACTCATCCTTACGACAACATAATCACCTACAACAGTCAGCAACAATCAGCAACAAGCAGCAGCTCTCTGGTCAATGAAGAGAATTGACTCGGGAGCTGAAAAGAAGCTAGATATGCCAATGCCAATGCCAAATCCAACGCCAATGCCAACACAAATATCACTTCCCTCATTGATTAGGGGTCGTCACTTGTACCGTTGTACAGTTAGCTAGTTGTGGGTAGGAAAAGGAATTTGTGGATGGACCATCAGTGGAGATGTATCAGGATGGCATGATACTGACATTGACGGTTGACGGTTGACGGTTGACGGTTGACGATTGACGATTGATGATTGATGATTGATGGTAAAGATAGACGTTGGAGATGTTTCAATCATGGAAGGGTACCTAGATGAGTGTGTATCAGTCTGAGCATGTACCTGCCCAAGTTGCCTTGCTCTCGCCTCTTGCTCAAGTAAGTGAAGTAAGTGTACGCTGTACGAATTGATCGGATCTGATGGCTATTCTTGCTACAATCTCATTCCTCGCATCCCACCAAGTCTCAGGTCTCAGGCGGATAAATGCTGACATGTTAACATCTCTTATCGGATCCAATCAAATCGATTCCATTGCAAGAAGAATTACGGTAAATCGAGATAAATTGATGAATATAAATTGGAATTTGGACCTGCTCACAGAATCTATACCAAAAGAAGTTAGAGTGGAATTTTAAAAACTGTTGAGGAGTAGAGATCTCCACCATCACTTCTCTTACCGAATCCTTAAAGTGGAGATGATGGTTTTGGGCGGGAAAAGTAAAAAATAATATGGAGAAATAGCAAGGAAGATAAAACATTTGGCTCACGCTAAGTGTTTAAGGGTTCAATTGGCATTTGGCATTTTCTCTTCAAATTGACTAACATGTGGTGGCTCGGTGGGTGTTTGTGTGAACTCTGTGTGTGCGTGTGTGTGTATCTGCGTACTCGGTATATGGTAAGTGAATGATTTTACTATTTTTACCATTTTTACTACTTTTCCTACTTTTCCTACTTTTACTACTTTCACTCCTTTTGCTACTAATAAGGTAGGTACCAGGTATAGCGATATGAGAATTGCCTCAATCATTTTTACCAAGACTCGAAGCTAAGAGTAGCTAGGTAAAGCTAAGAAATTTCATATTTCTTACCATCACTATATATAAACTTCCCATCTTCCGCCCTCGATACCTTCTTTCAACTCTTCTCTCATCTTTTCCCTCTTTTTGAAATCTTTCTCCAAATCCCTTTTCCTCTCATTGTCTTATTTGAGAAGAAGTTTTAGGAATCTGGAATATTCTTATCACTGTCTCAAGGGTGACTTTCTGATACTGTTGTTCTATCCATCTCTTGTCAACACGCACAAAGAGCAAGAGGAAGAATCACCTTGGCAGAATAAAACCAAGATTTTCGAATCATTCCCTTTCATCGGTTTTGATTTATTTATAACAACCATTATACACATCTCCTCAAATACTCGAATTGAGGGAGGAGCAATCTCGCAAACATGGCACCTTCAACTCGCTCTTCAGTGAGCAACACCCTCGTTGAGGAAAAGCAACCTCAACATGTTGACATGCATGGAAATGTCTTTGAGCTCCCCAATTATACCATGAAGGAAATCTACGATGCTATTCCAGCTCATTGCTTCAAACCCTCCATCATTCGATCAATGGCATACGTTGTCCGCGATTACTTCTACGTCTCTACTCTCATCTACCTCGCCCTTACCTTCATCCCAATGCTTCCAAATCCATACCTTCGATTCGCCGCTTGGGTCGCGTACACCACTGTTCAAGGATTCGTTTTCACCGGTATTTGGATTTTGGCACATGAATGTGGACACGGTGCTTTCAGCAAGAACAAGAGATTGAACTGGACTATGGGATTGATCATGCATTCGTTCTTACTTGTGCCATTCCACTCCTGGAGACTTTCCCACTCCCAACATCACAAAGCTACCGGAAACATGGATAAGGATACTGCTTTCGTTCCACACACCAGAGAAGGTTGGATTCAGAGAAACTTTGGAGAGAAGGCCAAGGCCAATATGATCGAGTTCGCTGAATTGGCAGAAGATTCCCCAATTTACTCCCTTTACCATGCATTCATTCATCAATTGTTTGGATGGCCAGGTTATTTGATTGCCAACTTGACTGGACAAGACTATGATGGTGCCAAGGGAATGAAAATTTCTCACTTCTACTTCGGAGAGGACAGTGTCTTTTACAAGAAGCACGAATTGCCTTTGATTGCTTTGAGTGACGTTGGTGTTGCCGTTATGATTGCCGCTTTGGTCTGGGCTGGTCAAGTCTTCGGAAGCTTCAATGTTATTGTTCTTTGGGGCGTTCCATGGTTGTGGGTTAACAACTGGATTGGTACGTTTTATCTTTTGAATTACAATAACCCGAAACTAACATATTCTCACAGTTGCTATTACCTTCCTCCAACACACCGACGCATCCATGCCCCATTACAACAACAACACCTGGAACTTTGCTCGTGGTGCAACCGCTACTATCGATCGTGATCTCGGTTTCATTGATACCCATCTTTTCCACGATATCATCGGTACCCACGTTTGCCATCACTTGGTCTCCACAATCCCATTCTACCACGCCGGAGAAGCAAGCCAACACATCAAGAAAGTCATGGGTCAACATTACAAAGCCGATGTTAAGACTCCTTTCTGGACCGCTTTCTGGAGAAACCAACGTACATGTAAATTCGTCGAAGAATCCGAGGGTATGGAAGGAAGTGGTGTCTTCATGTACAGAAACTTGTATAACAGAGAGGGAGAAGTTCATGCTAAGGATCTCACTAATGGCCAAGCTTCTATTGCTAAGTCAGATAAGCCAACAGTCTCCAAGGTCGTACCAGTTGGTTCCATGGCTACAGCAATGAGCACCAGTAGAAACATGAATGCGGGAAGAAGATTGAGTCAAAGTGTTCAAGAGAGAGCAAAGGCTGGATTACCTCTTTTGGCTGAAGTTTTGGGAGAGTGAATCAGGAATGGGAAATGAGATGTTTGACAAGAAGAGTTGTGGATATAATTGACCACGTGCATTGGTGGATGGAGTTGGGGAGTTTTCGCTTGCGAGTTGAGAAGATACTTGGGTCACAACACGATACCAGACCCAAGATATATAGGTTCAAATTAGATCTTGGGATCCCGGGGAGAGATATCCTTCTTTTTAGAGATAGATTAGCTGGTTGATTGCATCTTCTGGTGTACATAGAGCGATATGGACTAGACTGGATAGATGGTTTAGATTAAACTCGACTAGACTAGACCACGGCAATACGTTAAGAATAGAACAAAAGCGTTATTTCACTCTTTCTATTTTATGGCTTTGAGTTTGAACAATTGATTTTGTGGTTGTAAGGAGTAAGGTGATTTCATTCATGGCCATGTTAGATTTACCGCATGCAAGTGCGAAAAAGTTGTATTTGTATCTATATTACTTCCCACCCACCTTCGGTAAAGTTGGTGGTAGTGTTACAATTCAACCCGTGAAACGTGAGATGAGTGTCTACGCTGCAACTTCTCCGTTCCGTCATATTCTACAAAAAGTCTGGTGTTGGAGTGTGGAGGTGGACACATCGGCGGCGGGCAAATGTGGAATGATCAAGTTGGTACGGGTACACATGACGAGATGGTGGACTTTACTCGCGATATATTTATGTGTTGAGAGCGGAGGCGTACTGGACTGGATGTTTGAGTGCGATGTGGAAGATGATGTGTTGTTGGTTTGCTTGGCTGGAAAGATGGTGTGTTTGTTGCTATTTGTTATGTGTCGTGTGCTATTGGTGGAGGGAGGACTTGGTGATTTCTGGAGATTGTTTTGTAAAAGGATTGTTTAGCTGTGTGTATCTACGTATGTATATATATGTATAGCTATATGTATAAATATATGTATGTGAGTGGATTGAGAACCTCATCTTAAGTTACTTCAATTATGGGCTGTTGTCTTTTATGCACGAGGTTTTGTGTCTCTGTGGTCTATACTTGAGCTAAGTTTTGATACCTCAATATCTTGTACTCAGACCTGTTGCTAGAGTGTAGAGGCAAATGAGCTTGCCAGCAAATGCTATTCATCGCAAGGGATCCTTTATCAAGGTAATCCCGGACTCCTCTGAAGAGTCTCCGTTGAGTTCTAGCAATTCAATATTCGAAGCATTTTTGCTTTCCAATAGCAATAGTGAGGAAAGTGTGAGTGAATCTGATACAGTACCACCTTCCAGACAAGCGGCCTGCGAAGGGGGGAAGGAGTGATTGCAGCGGGAAGTCTTGAGAGCATCCTGAGACCTTGAGCCGAGGACGACAGTAGTCGAGAGTGATGTGAATGTGATATTTGGTACCGTTGAGAAATTGATCATTGATTGAGATGACTGTATGTACATATCGAGCAGGTTATAAATGAAGTATTTCATGACAGGATTGTATGTAATGAATGTCAAATATTGTCTAAATCTCTGTAATGTTCTTCCTCGCTTTGAAATCTATATGTTCCGAGTGATAATTGAGGAGAGATGAGGAGCAGTGCCCTTCTCATTCTCCCGCTTTCTATCATGGCTCCGCATCTATATCTTCAATACCATGCCGTTTCAGCCTCTAAATCCGTTCTCCGGTAACATATACACTATTTCTCCAAGCCTCCTTACCACCACACGACACATCATCCGAGCACACATGTCTAAAAGAACTCGGCAGGTTATTCTTATCTCGATAATGATTTAGAATATGAGCCAAACTCCGTTTGCAGCCATCCAGCTCATTTCTCGGAAATATTCGATCGCAACCTGAGACGACGCATCGATCGTGCGTACAATCTAGTATTAGAAAGGTATTTTGTTTGAGCTCCTCGCGTTTTTGATGACGTTCAGAGGGTGAAAGATGGGAGATGTCAACGTGGTGTATTTTGAGATGATCTTCTATACTGTCTATTCGGAGAGATAGGTGAGCGCAGGAGAGTTCAGGACAGGCGATGAATTGACAGGGATTGTGTGTGTTGGAATGTTTGCGGAGAGCTTTCAGAGAGGTGAATCGTTTGTTGCAGTAGCATTTGTAGGGTTTGGAGGAAGTGGGGCGTTGTCTTTTGGATTGAGGGCTTGGTGTTTCGGTGGAGGGGTGATCCTTTGTTGGACGTTTTTTTGAGCGAGAGCTTGAAGGTAATGTGATAATGAAAGGTTGGCTCGAAGAAGGAGAAGGATCAGAAAATGATTGAGAAAATGTCGTTGATTGGGTTTCGGAGGGAATATGTGCATCATGACCTAAATTGCAATCATTATTCGAAAGACCACTCTTCACAGGGCTGTGAAGACGCCATCCTTCTTCATAATAAGCTTCATCAACTACCTCTAGTATACAGGAGCTCTTCTCCTCCCTATCCTCAATCCGAATATTGAGAAGAATATCCCGAATTGACTTGCGAATAGAAAGACCGAATTCTAAAGTTTCTAATGGGCCAAACGCGTATCTGCGATAGAAGAATTGAATAGAATCTTTCACAAGCGAAGGTCTGTATTCCATAGAGACATTCTCCCCCTCTATCAATTTTGTTCGTATCAAAGTAAATAATTCATCTGCAATCTCGTGATTTGAGCGTACACATAACATGGCAGCATAATTGTTTTGGGAAACAGTCGAGAAGTTCGGACGATGGGGATCTTCTTGGCTAGCCGAGAATGATGGGTAGTTGGGCAAGGCATTCTGTAAGAGATTGTTGTTATTAGTGCCGGGAATTTCTGAGTGTATGGAGGTATGGGGCATTCAGAATTCAATGAAGAAGGACGAGTCAATAGCAGAGCTGTGACTTAGCTCTGGAACCTTGAATCATGACCTAATAGCTAGTCTAGTTCGGTACCCCTTTGTGTAGTTCCAAATTTTAACCTACTGGTATTTCCCGAGATTGAGTTCATCCATCGAGTAATTCAAAGAAGAAATATCATGAACATAAACTCACAAAATTTGCATATTGAAAATCTCTTGTGGTGTGATGTTGAAAAGTATCCGATTGAAAATTGTCTGGAGAGATAGTTGATAAGGTGGTGTGCTGAAGCGATGGAAATTCTGTAGATATGAACGAGCTAACATGCTCAGGTGTTGAAAGGGGTTCCACCTCTAGATACTCAGACCCTAGAAGCGACGTTGAGTTCACATTATTGTGAGAGGGATGAGGGGACAACGATGTGACATTCGCAAGATCGTTACTTTCCGATATTTCTGAATTTTGAGAGCTACTTGATTGTTCAAGGCGAGGGCAACCGTTCATATGGTTATCATGGTTGTAAATAGAGCAATGCGAGAAATGGTGTAGTTGATTCGGTGTGATTTCAATTCGGATACCTAAGAAATTGGGTAGGCTCCGGACAAGTGTTCGGTGTACCTACCATGCCCCAGGTAAATACCAGCGACCCCCACTCAGGTTCCGTTGCTTTATTCCACTTACCGTTACGAGACACAACATTTTCCGCCGTGTTTTGGTTCATTCCACACGTGCTTGGTACCGAGGTCCCCAAATCGCTCACATCGATAGCTCTTTCGAAAGCTGGCAACGACATCTCAAAACTGAGAAAGTTCGAAGATGCAAGAATTGACGAGACCGTAGTTATTGATGATTGAAGCAACGATTCAACAGCTTTAACAAGTTTATTGAGGATTGAGAAGTAAGTGAGGTCCGTCGAAATGCGACACCGTCGTGGACCAATTAGAGTATCACGTGATATCACAGCGAGTCTTGCCTCCAGAAGTCTCGCCTCCGGCATACCATTGGGTGTATGGAATAGGAGGCTCATACCTCATATCACGCTATGCTGTGTTGGGATCAGCTTACATGTGGATTTTCTAAGACTCAAGCTCTTATAATACTAAGACTTTTCCACCAACTTCATAGATCTTTTAATAGCAAGTCCATTTTTGCAGCTCCCATCAGTCCGTACGTCCACTAGTGGTACAAGCTCTTGAGAGCGAAATAAGTTGCCGGAATCGAGTAACCTTATACTTCATTTCTATCGATTGGTTAGGATCATAAATCAACTACAAATGGTTTAGCAAATGACAAAAGACAAAAGAGGAATAGATAGTTCAGCTACTATTTACCTCGGATCATATATTGAAATAAATGACATCTGTTTCCTAAGAGGACAATTGGACTATAAAGACTTTTTTAAGGTACTCAATTCTGACAACTTGTTTCGCTGATGGAGGAACCGAGCTCTGACGGGTACCTCGAGGAATACCTTATATCATACTTTGACATCGATCATCACCAAGTCGTTACTTTTCAAGACAATGATTGGAAGGTCTTATAGTTTACCAAAATTTCTTATGGCGATGAGGATCATTATCACAACCTTATCACATGATTTTCGGCAGTCAATGTAACATTCATTCGAGCTGAATCATACGGACGAGCCTTGTTAAGAGCAAAAAAAAAACATTCATGTCAGTGTACTATGGAAAATAATACTCAATCAAGTGGTCTGAATTGCTTGTAGAATGGTGATAGTAGGTAAAGAATGGTCGATGTTCTCGGATGTGAATGCCATCGTCAGTCGATTATTCATCGATCAAATTCTGTTGTCGTGATGTAAGGTCAAATTATCTAGAGCCTTCATCTAACACCATGATTTATGTCATTTCTCAATCAAAACCATCGAACACCTCGGCTTCTTACTATAACGCCTTACGCCTACTCCTTGCAAAATGAATCACATATTTCACATTTCATAAAGAGATGAGATATTCAATACTATGATATTTAGAAATTCGTTCCGAAGTGTATAGTCATTAAGTACGCAAGGGAGCAAGTATTCCCGAGAACGCCAGCCACAATCTTGTTCACACGATCGTAGGGGATGGTGAAATAATGGCCTATTAGGCAAAGAAAACATGACTGCCGATGTTACGAACATGCTTATTACTAGAAGCTTAAAGGGGCCAGGTGCTGTTAAGAGCCGAGATTTAGGAGCTTGGAGTTGTGAACTTGGAGAAGTCAGGAACTGGATCTCTGCTTGTTGACTAAAGTCTTGAATCTTATCACATGTTTGGAAGCAGTGTTTGGCACGATAAATCGTTTAGTAATTAACTTGAGCTGGAATAGGTCTAATTCTTCAAATGACTGCCAGTGCTGTATTAACACCCTCCTCCCCTCCCCCTGAAACATTATTAAATATTACAAATCTGATCATAGATTGGCCCTAACAACTTGAAGGTACCCCCAACTGGCATCCATTTACTGAGCAATCAATTGGATCTTCTCGCATCCAACAGGGTAAGTGCGGGCATCGCTTGGGAAAACAGCGATGGAATAAACATCAGCCTCGGAGGTTGAGCAAGCCCAGAAGTCGTTGCCAGGGTATGTCAAGAGTCCAACAGAGATGTTTGGACCACTATAAGGGGCTTCGAACGCCCAACCTGCATTATATGAAAGGCTGGCGTCTGGAGCAGCATATGCGACTGAATTGTTGGAGAGATACAATTCTTCTCCTCCTTGGATGTTTACATGTCCGTTATCGAAAGAGAATTGAATGGCTGTATACCTGTTAGCTTGTTTCAAATCATGGACATAGAAACATGTTTATGCTTACCTGGTGTAGGTTTTCCAACCCAAAGATATCCGCTGTCTGCAGTGATCTCCAAGCCTCGGAAGATCGACCCAGCTCCAGTTGGGAAGGTACGGAGCGTGTAGGTAGTATCGGCTGTTCTAGCGACGATAGGGCTAGCAGCGACAGTGCTGGCGAGGAGAGTTGCGATGATAGTCTTGGAGAACATTTTGACGTTTGGAAGCTGTTGGACTGATGGAACAGTTGAATATGTGTGTAGTGAAATGATGAGTGAGTTGAGTGATGATTTGAATGATGTTGAATTCCAGGACTTCTCTATATATACGATGAACCCCTATAATATCCATTTATTTTCGTGGAGACACAACTGGGTCTGATCCATTAACTTCTTAACAACCATGTTCTTGGCTCACTATAAGTCGGATATCCAATGTTGTCACTCAGTCAATATAATATTAACATAGTATGATGACCCTGCATTGAGTGCTATACGAGATGTACAGTGATCCAATTCCTATAACAATTGGTATCGAATCATTAGTTTTAAAAACATAAACATATGAAAATGACGAGTTTTGATATAAAAAGTGGATTGGCCAAACAGTAGTCGCTTAGCACTGTAGTACTATCATCTTGATCGATGTTCTAATTCGATCCTAACGTAGACCGCTTAGTTGTACCTCTATACGACGTACACTTCTCCTGCTGTGTCTCGTGTGTCTCTCCGGCCTCGTATTTGTAGGCTTGCCAGTGGCCTTCCGAGGACCTCAAAGTGGCTCAGGGTGGAAATTTTCTGCATGTCAAAATGTGGAGTATGTGACCATTCTATTGAGAACGTTAAATTTAAGCTTTAAATTTTGGCAGTCATATTCCAGAACACAACAACGTAAACGGCAGATAAACTTTAAATTTTTACGGCCCTTAACTCAGCCACGATTATCCACAATATGCACGCTTGGTGCCTCGGAATGAAAACAAATAGGCGGGGCGTTCTATAGGGGCAGATCTCCACAGCCAACGATCGGGTCATCGGCTTCTGCAGCCCCGCAAAACGAACATTGAGCTTTCTGAATTCTACCCGCTTACTCAGAGGATTCTCACTCCACCAACTGCCTTATTAGCCTCCGCTTTATCTGCCAAGTACATCATAAAAGCCTTTTCAATGAGACACCACATCTTCGTACCCGGGAATACTTTGGTTGTCTCTTCTACACGTCAACCCCTCATTGACAATGCCACTTACATCCAATGCAGATGTATCCGCAGTGTGACATATTTTTGCTTCCACAAATCGACCAGTTCAAACTTGTCTCCCCAAAGATGATAATTCACATGGCTCTTTCTCGTCTGCAGGGCCAGGCGTGACAGGAGACGCTGTTGGTATTCTTCTTTGGTGAATCTAGCGGCTTTTTGCTGTTCTCAGGGACTGCATTGGAGACTTATTTTGTGGAAAAAGTTGTCCCTCCGCGCTCGAGGCATTTGCCACGAGACCTCGTATGGGTTTGTATACAAGCTTTCACGATCGCTAGTTTACGTAATTGCTTTCAGAGTAATGCTCCACATCACAGTCATTGCATTTCCGAATTCTACCCCAAAGTTGTATTTAATATTCTCTACCAACAAAACCGACGACGTGGAAAGGATGTTACAACCAATGAGAACAGTGGGAACACAACAAAACGCACATATCCTCGCGGACTTTCAGGAGAATTCGTCGAGTTACACCAAAACCTCGTATGTCAACGGATCCATGATTACTCAAGCAATCAGCCATTCTTCCTTTCATCATCATCGAACTGATTTTTTTTTATATCGGTCGCTACATTGTAGGTTAAAGCCCAGCTCTGAACAAACATGTAGGGCGATCAGGGAGAGCTCCTGATCTTTTATTGCTGGCTCTGTGGTGTGAACAAGGAGTAGTTTACGCGTTGGTTAGAGGAAGATATATTCACTGCTACCATAATCCGTTGTCACATTGAGAGAATAGGATTTTAGGGAAGTCACATCCAAACTTGATCGAGGCCTACAGCTGTTGAAAATGGCGTTGCACTACTGGTACTGCAGAACATCTCACAAACTGAAAGCGTTTCCTCTTGATTCTTCATCGTATGAAAGCATCGCAAGGATAAGTGGTGCAATGAGAAGTACCTAAATCCACTTCTCACGGCAGATCGATATGTGATGAGGTGACTTGACGTTTTGTTGACGAGGATGGCGGCTTTCTACAGATTCATCCATGTTAGGCCAAAGCCACCACCATCATATTCATTTTAGACTGTTCTTTTTGTATTCAGTTGCTAACCCCCTGCCCCACGCTCGCCAATGTCTATCTCCAGCCGCAGTCCTTGAATACAGTCGAGACGCTGTTTCAGCTCTTCGACCTCAAAATCACCGTCCATACCTGAGATAGTGCAGTCCGGGTCAGCGTCTCGATGTGACTTGTCTTTTCACCTCTTGTTTGCTGATACTTTTTATCTTCAAGCCGCTTTCGTATTCTAATACAACGTTCTACAGACGGATAATTAAACGGGCTACGGCTCGTTCGTTCATGAAATTTACACTGGCCACGCTGATTTCCAGTTTTCGATTTTGTTTAGCTCCTGAACTACATGAGCAATTGCATTGCCTGGTTTCCTGACTTTCGAGGTCGTAGTTTGAGCTACCTTGAGACTTATGTTGCTTCATGATGTGTCTCCGACGAACCAGACGATATGCAGTTCAAGAGACCCTGGCACAGAATGGACGTGTTCCTTCTTCATCAAAATACGAGCTCATTAGTAACCTAGATAGGCGCTGGCCAAGCTCTTACTTCTAAGTTGTGTCGTCGCGCTCTATTGCGCAAGGTAAAAGAAGCATTGGATTCAGATATGCTTGGTATTGTGAAGAACATTGTGGTTGAGTTCTCTCCTCCATACCGTATTGCTCCAAAATTCAATAAGACACTTTACTTTCAAGGAGCTGAGCTGGCGATTTTGAGCCATCTCACGCACGGGGCTGGGGTACGGGAATGGAATATGCTGGCCTTGCAGATAGCCTCTTGTACGACGGACCGAAAGGGAATTTTGTCTAATAGATCTATAGGAAAAATCAACTCGCCATAGTACCGGATCCTTACAGCGATTTTCTTTAAACCTAGATCGACCTCAGAAACCGAGATCGCTGGTTTGTGACGGCTTCATCGATCCAAGGCCATCTAGATCAACCTAGTCCAAAGGGATAAGTAACTAGCTTTATTCCTTCCTAATAAGAGGAAAAAGACGATATCTTTCATCGTCAACGAACCGTTTTGATTAAACCATCATTACACAAAAGAATTAGGATTATAATAATTGTTATATTAATTCGAATTTTCAAAAGAAGTCATTAGATTATTATAATTTTATAAAGTTAAATACTATATATCTCATTTATATAAGAAAAATTCTAACTTTACATTTCATTTCAAAAAAAAAAAGAAAAAAAGAAAAAAAGAAAAAAAGAAAGTACAAAAGAAAAGTATACGGAGACATGCGAACTCATCTTCTATATAAATTAAATGCTCCACATGCTGATAAGCCACGTTAAATAAATTATTTCTTATATATCTCAAACTGTTGGTACTATGTCGGATTGATTGGTATCGTGAGCCGGACTGAGGCCTAATTTAGGCGACCGAGGACCTCCCCAAATCTCATCAGTCGTTACTCATATCTGGAATATGTAATTCTCTTCGATCTCCATAAATGAACCAAAGAAAGTGTCGTGAGAATTCAAGTATAACCCAGAACGCCATGCTGAAAATAACAGATAGAAAAAAGTGAAGGAAGAAAGGCGTCCCTCGAGTGTCATTTCCATAGAATATTTTATAATCAGAGTCATGTCATCGATGGTTGGGTTGTCGTATCGTCGTCTTCTTGTTCCGCGATTGTTATATATGAGTCTACTGAAGACTTCAACATACCAAGCCGCAAAGTTTCGTGTGAGGGATCCCGAATGGTGTAGTTGTTACGGTGCTCGGAATCTGGATCCTCGGCGCGAAATCTAGACATTGCGATATCCAATTCTGTATCTGAAGGAGAGGCCAATGTATCAAGCATAGGACGAAGCCTTGAAGACTGCTTGTTTTGGTATGGACTTCTATATTCAGATGGGCTCCGATTTCTTGGATAACTACCACCACTGAAGCTATCATTGCTCCCACGATAGTCTTGAGCACGAGGCCCTTGGGCATAAAGATTCATAACAGGTCTCTCTTGTGGCTCCGTGCTATTCCCGTTGTTTGAACAATCAAGGTTGTCCTCATCAATCTCTGATCGTACTTCGCAATCAGAGTCATCATAGTCGCTATACGGAACCCGCTTTCGATTCTTTGGTTGGATGCAGGTGCTAGTCTTCCAATGATCTTTCGTTCCACACTTATCTTTGTCCGAGCATGAGTGCCGGAAGGGCAGGAGGGGAAATGATTTCTGATGACTCATAATGTGGGCGTGGCTTCTCCGACAATCCTCCCAAGAACCTCGAAGAAGATCTATGTCACAGAAACCGCAGTGGTCGTGGGTTCGATCTGTGATTATAAAAGTATTCTCCCTGATCTTTTCTGATATATTGTTCATTTCAGTTTTTGAGAGACCCTTGAGATAGCCTTTATGAGATTTGGTCTTTAGGTGACTTTTCATAGTTTCCTTTCTCGGGAATATTTTCAAGCAACCAGGCACAATGCAAGCAAAAAACTCATAAGGATTATGGATTTTGTTGTGGGGTCCAATCCCTTTTAACTCCACGCTTGCGTTACAATCGTCGTAGTAACAATTGTATTCGTCCGAGGAGACTTTGGGTCGCTTACTGGAAGAGGAAGCGATACTCGTGGAACCTTCATAATCGCTAGGACGCTTAGATGAACGTGAAAATACCGATGGGTTTCTGTTTGTACGTGGTGTCGAATCAGAGAATGCGGCTCTTGTGTTGTGTCTTCTGGAAGAAATATTCTGCGGTATAGGCTGATCGTTTCCTGCTTCGAAGTAAATTTTATAGACTGATTCCGCAATTTTCATAGGCTTCATATCCTTCCAAGGTATATCTTTGTCTCGAATGATCTCAAGTATAGATTCTCCAACCAAGCTTTCCGTTTTCGTAGTCTCCCCTTTGAAGCCAAAATCGCGATAGATATCCTGTATAGATTTTCTGATTTCTGAGGCGACGAACGATCGATTCAGGGGCTCATCCTCAAACTCTGATGTTGTCTCGCATACTCTGTCGAATAGTTTACTTCTGAAATTCTTACTGGTAAATTCGACACCTGCAGAAATTGAGGAACTGCGACTCGCGGGATAATCAGCTAGGCGTTGACTGTAACATTGAACCATTGATTCGAGATCATTAGTTGTTTGATGAGGGGAAACTATGTTCCCAGTCCCTCCCGTTGAACAACTTCCCTTGTTCCTAGTCGATCGTCGAAGTGGAAGTATCTGTCTGTGGACCTTTGTGGGTCCCTCCAAGTTGCTCTCCTATCGCAAGAAACATCATTAGTCCGGAGGTCTTCTATTGTGTAGATAGAAAAAAGCGCAAGATCAAATTAAGAAACGAATGTAAAAAAGGTTCTTGCAAATTACAAGAGCCTTAGATTTGAAGGATAGATATTGACGTAATTTACCCCAACAAAGAATGGTTCACAATGTGATAAACCAGAACATATACTCACATGTATTTCAAGGTCATGATTTTCGAGATCTGATCCAGAGATTGTTCCAGCTTTCGATAATGTTTGTACATGTTGGGAATTCATCGACGTCTGGACCGGTTCTGGCATTTCAGATGGAGTATATTCCACTTGGCCAGGAAAATCGTAAGAGCGGTCTCTCACTTCACTACCCAATCTTTGAGGTGTAATCTGACATTGCAAGGGACTTTGGTTATCGGAGGACCCCGCTGTGGATATGGATGCAAGTTGCTCTACCCCATCTTGATATGCAAACAAATCATCATCGAACTCGAGATCGTAACTTGTGAGTTCGCCATTGGGAAAGAGGATGAAATCATCGAGGTTATTGTCGTCAAAATTATTGTATGATAAGTGATTTGCCTTATTCAGATCATTGTCAAAGGAATGCGATACTTGATCACCACATATCGGTGGTCGCGCGAGGTTCGAACCAGGATCTCGGCAACCCTGTTGTGGCGGTGCGCTCTCATAAGCGGCTACAGCTTCTTCAACAGTTCTAAAAGACATGCTTTAGAGACAAATGGTGTTGTTTTTGTATAAGAATAATACTGCAAATAGTAGAAATATGCAGTTCTATTCATCGTAGATGACGTCGCTATGGCTCCATCAAAATTTTGTAGATGCTAATAGTACACCTAACCAAGAATATACTGTGATATGTAGAAGAGGTGAAAGATGCAGTAAAGAAACGCAAGAAGGTTTCGACGTGAATTGTACTAGAGGTATGTGTTGGCCATTCTCATCTCGCATAAGAAGATTGTTGATGGAGATAGAGATGGAGATGGAGATGGAGACGGTACCAGAAGCTAAGCGAGTGAAGGGGACGGTGATGATGCAAGTATACATGAAGGGTACATTTGATAAACTTAAAATGGTGAATACAAATTTTGGGGAGGTTCCCATACCATTTCCTCCATCATGAGTCTCAGAAAATCAAAAGAATATAGAGATGGGAATTACGGGCGGTTGCGTGGATGGGCGGTCCTCCTCTTCTCCACTTCAACCACCATCGCCATCACCATCGCCATCACCATCGCCATCACCATCGCCATCACCATCACCATCACCGCCGTCGTTACTGTTCTTATATTCTTTCCTATTCAATACCACCTCAAAGATGTTGCATTTGATGATCAAACAAAGACATCGCTATCGACGAATTCTCAAGTGATTATAGAAATCTGAGAGCCCTCAACAACAAAGTGTGCGGTACGAAAGCAGCATATGTCCGCATTTCCAGTTTGATCTGTCTATCAAACTCGTTCAACAGAGTGCTGTACACCGATCATTGAAAGGTCACGAACTCGGTATACCTCTTCCGGATCAAAATTTATCGAATTGAGACCCCAACTCTCAGGATCTAGCTTGGAAAGTCGTAGGCTAAAGCAGTAAAAAAACCACAGCGATAGAGTGATGTGTGTGATCCAGAGAACTCTTTGGGCGTGCAGTCATGTGAAACAACAAGTTACGTGCAGGCTTGGTCTGCCCGGAAGCTGTAGTCAACAACCTGTACATGAAGATAGGCGTATTCGAAGTTGTCCGGAATGCGAAGTGAAAAAAGCGCAAAGGAAAGCATGAGAGGATCCGAGCACTTAAGCCTGGCTAACAGAATTAGGCATGCTTCGAGACGATAATAGAACCGACAAATGACAATGGAAATTGAGCATATAGCTTGACGAAATCAACAACGAAGATGGAGCAGACCAATTTTCTGAGCTTGGTGAGTCTAGCGTAGATGGTGTGTGTTGATGTTGGACCACGGGTATAGATACTATAGTCAAGTCGAACAGTGTTCAGCTATATTGAAATTCTTTGTTTGGCCCGAAGTCATTAGGCTTGAGAGGTGCTTTCCTAGTTCGAAAACAGGGTGTGATCTTGGAGTTGTCCATTTGACGTCCTGCTCGGTTGAGAAGCGAGAGTTATGGGATAGATTGATGTATATTTGGCCACAACCTCCATTTCATGTGTAACTCTGGTTTGACTTTACCGGTCGCTGTATTCAAAGTAAGAGTAGGAGGTAGCTTCCTATTTTACCATTTGAAGTGTTTCGGCGATGATTATATGTACTCATTATATGAGGTTGAAGTGATGAGGCTAGCCTAGCATTTAGGCTTATAAAATTGGTGAACCCCACATTCTTCATACATAATGTCTTGATGCCCGAGTCTGACCACCCTTCTAATCTTGTACGCTCTGGATAGCGCGTTTGTACATATAAGAACGATCTATCCCCGAATTTAATATGGACTTTCCTCTTTCAAAAAGGAATGATATTTATTTCGGTATTAGAATCATTTAGGGGCGGCTCTCATCATAAGTAGACGGGTCCCTATGCAAAGCCTCGTTCGGTCAGTATCATGGCCCCCAGCCTTCCCTGCCGTGTTTGCCTTAATATAAATCCCATGTGCCAAACCGCTCGATGGCGAGTGGACGTGGTAGGTAATGATAAAATCGAGTACACTCTTCCATTCAACATCCGGGAATTGATGTTATCAAGCCGTGCTTGTTCATTTTGCTTCTTGATAAAAGGAGGTGCGCAAGCTATACGGCGCGACGCTGCGTCGCTTCATCGTGAGAGTCATTGCAGCCTGATTGGCAAGCGCGGCCGGATTATCGTACAAAAGTCTGCCCCTCTTGAGATTGAATTGATTCGCGATAAACATGGTGTTGGAGAAGAAGTGTTGTCAAGGCTTCAATTCTTTGTGGCGGATAAGGATGATGAGGTCGGAGGAATTTGTTTAAGGCCCATAATTAGCGATTCTGGCAATTTTGGCGTACTTGGGATCGCCAGAAACCTTCCTACATTGATTTCAACCAAGACGCATATCACACTCATTAATTCTTGGATTAGCAACTGCCGTAAGAATCACTCATCTTGCGATATAGCTACAACAAGTCAATTGCCATCGAGACTTCTGGATATATCTGGTAGTGAGGATGACATATATTTGGTAGAAACTAGGGATCTCCCAAGCAGCGCCAATCGACCTTCCTACGCCACGTTATCACATTGCTGGGGCTCTAATCGTATCATTCAAACCACATCATCTACTATAAAATCTTTCTATAGTGGAATTAGAAAAGCTGATCTCCCAGCTACCTTTCAGGATGCAATATCCGTTGTACGAGCTTTAGGATTGAGATTCATATGGATTGACTCTCTTTGCATTGTCCAGGATTCTCTGGATGATTGGAAGCATGAATCGATTCTTATGGCTTCAATATACTCCAATTGTTATGTAAACATCGCGGCTACTGGTGCTGCTGATAGTTCTAAAGGGTGCCTGGCACCTAGGAACCCACTTTATCGATCTATTCCCTTGTTCACGAAAGGTCTTCTGAAGCCTGAGTCAGAGGATAAGAGCATATTTGTCCGCCATTCGCTCAATAGACACCATCAATTTTATTCCACTCCGACTATATTGAGAAACGAGACCACTAGCTCATGGGGCAAAGAGAAGCAGGAGGCACCATTGTTGTCAAGAGCCTGGATTTTCCAAGAACGATATTTAGCACCAAGAACCTTGCATTTTTGCTCGTCAGAGCTAGTCATGGAATGCCGTAAAGAACTAAGATGTGAATGTACTGGACTCGATTCTATCGCATCTAACCCTCTTCGCGACGTGCAAGATATTTCCTATGATAGTTGGCTTCGTGCCGTGGAGGAATTCTCTAGGCTGAGATTGAGTCACGAAACTGATCGATTGAGTGCATTGCTAGGTATTGCCAAGGTCTTCCACGCTAGATTGATGTCTACATATCTTCGAGGACTTTGGGCTGAAGATCTTGCGAGAGGCTTACTGTGGGACGTTACGAGGTATGAAACCGTACATACCAGTGCAAGTCCTCTTAATTTGCCACCTAAGCGGCAGAATAGAGAAGTTGCCCCGACGTGGTCATGGGCTAGTATGGTGATGACAGAGGGGATTGGAATAATCTTTCCAGCAGCCCACGATGCATCATTCTCCAAAAACCCACAATTCTATCCTGCAAAACCCGCTTCACTACGCACAATGTCTCTAGGCACTTCATCATTCGATACCTTCCTAGAAACAAAGATAATTTGCGTTAATGCCAAATATATCTTCGCAACAGTCTTTCTATCAGAAAAGGAGGAGAACACGATGCTTTTGTTTGACGCGGGTATTGAGGATATGATTTTGATATCTATATATGAGATGAATTTGGATATCCCCTTGCATCCGGGGGGACTTTCTCAGGAGCAGAGCTGGAAAGTTTGCTGTTTGATTCTAGGTTCAATGACAGAGAGAAATTATGAGTTAAATGAAGAAGCAGAGTTCTTGTGCACGCTTGTGGTTAGATTCAACTCAATTGTTGATGCATGGGAACGGATTGGAGTACTTGATGTCAGGAAAGATGATGCGAATCATTCAAGTATAGGAGAACGGGTGTTTAACCTCATGTGAATACAAGCATAGACATATGTCAAGGTGATCATGGAACAATAAGATAAGTTTTACGATATAAGTCAAAAAGCTATCTACTCGTACCTAGGTACCCAAAGGCGAAGGAAAACCACAAAAATGGGAATCCAACAACCAACGCTCAAAATGCTGCAGTGACAACGAAAAATAATCCACATAAAATCCCGTCATGCCATTCCATCACCATCATCAGTGTCCCGAGTAGGCTTCGGTAGTTGGGACCTTGAATAGATAGTATAAGAGTGTCATTTATCTTTCCTGATTATACTGGCTTTGGTTTTATCATCTTTTGCTCTGGCTTGGCTCGACGAAGTCTCTCAGCAGCTGCATCAGCAAACAACTTATCATCACCCGTCAACCCCAACTGCATTGCCCGCTCAGCACGCTCTATGCTATTATGGGGACGATCCCCTGCCTTTCTCGGAATCCACGAACGCAACAAGCCCTCGCGTCTAAGACGCGCATCCGACATCTCCGTGAAGCGTATATGACGAGTGTAGAACTCTCCTCGCTCGTTGAAGAATTTTGAAGCACGTAAATGCCTGTCGAGTGGACTCAATCTTGCTAATTGAAGGATATCTCGATCGGTCAGATTTTCCCCTGTCGAATAGGGTAAAGCCATCATTCGTTTAGCTTCAGGGTGGCATTTGGCACCGATAGTTGTACGTCTGCGATGCAAGACTTCGTGGTAGACACCTTTGTTATTGGTTTGCTTTCTGATCCCGCCCCATTTCTTTACTGCCTCTATGTCTGGACTACCAATCTCTTCGTAATTGTTGTGGGTAGGTTGATTATCATAGTTGCGAATACCTGAATTAGGGGCCCTGGAAGGGTATGAAAGAGCTTGAGTGATAGCAGATGATGGGAAGGCAAGATATCCTTGGCACTGGAGCTCGCAGGCATGCTCCGGGTTCTGTAATCGGAATTGACCGATCAGTACTGCGCCAAGTTGATCATATCGGCCATAAATACTTTGTCTCTCATCAATGATAGCCCCATGCTCAGCTAACATGTGTCTCATGACAGTATCTACTTGATCCTGCTTTGAAGAGTTTTCAAGAATAGATCGATTCAGTCCAGGCCTAGCAGCATAGAAATTTTCGATGTCTGTTTTGTTTCTCGGAATCCACGAATCCAAGTAAGAGACTTCTTGAGTTGTAGCTGGTGTGGGGAGATTCATGATGATAACTCCTGGTTGTAAATCTGGGTATTCGTCAAGATCAGGACCAGGCTCGGGAGCTTGAGAAATTGGCGGACTATTGAAGGCCTGGCTGCTGTAGTGCTGAGTAGGAAGACTTTGACCGCCAGGAGATTGGTCGTGAGTCAAGCGATATTGGCAGGGTTGTACTTGGGATATATCTCCAGTATCGTAATGAAAATCATCAGAAGGTCGATTAGAATCAGAGCTTGCAGGTTGTAAGCCTGTTGATGGTGGGCAAATTCCAAGGGACTCGGACTCTCCAGTTTGTAAACCTGCCTTTGGAGATGAGGGCCGAGGATGATCTGAGGGCCAGGCTGATATCTTTGTAGCGAAGTTAGATCTCCAACATACTGATCGTATTCTTCGGGTGACTTGAAGGAACCAGATTGCGCAAGGGGTAACTCCTGCGGTTTTTTCAAAAACTGGTGGTCTTGTTTATCTAATAAAAGTTGAACAGTCATTAGTCAAAGTCGTGGGCAATAAGATGAAAGGAAGAACATACAAGATGAAAGATGGTCTGAATTGTCATTTCTGATATCATATTCCTCGGCAGAAAGAGATGAGTAAGAACCAGACTTATCATCGTCTTCATATTTTAATCCTGGCGTGTTACCTAAATTGCGCGGTCAATCTGTGAAATCTTTCCTTTCGATGGAGAGGTAATAATATTTACCAAGTTGTGTTGAAACCGGGTGGTAAACACGTTCTTCTTCTTGCTCTTGCTTAATAAAGGGAACTTTCTGCTCGATAAAAGGAGTTTCTGGCATGATTGAAGAGGCAGTTTGTGGGAAGTTGCTAATATTCTTGTTTCGCTCGTCTTCTTGCAAAAGAAAAGGATCAAGAAGAAAATTTGAGTTTGACATTGTGTGGCTGAATTCAAAAACTTGAGATATAAAGGTCTGGTCGTTGTGGTATTTTTGTTGCGAGGAGAAAAGCAAGAAAAATCAAAGACAAAGCTCGAGGTGATATTTTAATATGGTTGCTGTACGGCCAAACTATAATCAGAGACTCAACAGCCATTATAGTAGTACATAAGAGAGCCAATAAAAAGCTGAAGGTTTTAGAACATTGTCCTAAAAAACCGATGAATCCTCAGCCTATCACTTCATTCACTTTTTGAACAAAATGCAAATGAGAATGCTCTGGAAAAACATTTCTTTGGTGAATATGAGACCAAACCTTTCATATTTTCACTTTTCGGATGATAAAGTAGCAAATATTTTAACTTTCAAGTAAGCGACCGTTTAATGTCATCTTAGCAGTTGAAATTTTGATCTCCTCAGATTCATAGAGTTGATTAGCTACTCCTCTTAGCCGTAGATCGGAGTTCTTTCCTCATAACTGCAGATGTATCGGCATCACATCAAGCAAGGTCTTCTGCAAGATTCACTATCTTCAAGCTGAATTAACATCAAAGGTCCTGCAAGCAAATTGGCGATGACAGATTGAGCAAAATGATTCCGAATCAACATGCCAAGCTTTCTAGAAAGAACACTGATATATTGTCGATATCATTACGGAGAGGAATTTATCCACAAGAGATGCGTTACTTCGCTTCGCTTGATGAGTCAACTGTAACCCCTCATTCACAATTAGGGTTTGAGAGTTTGAAGCACTGGAACGTGGGTATAAATATGATGGGCAAACTCTTACGATTAAGCCAGCTAACTAGAAAGGGAATAAGATGAGAAGAAGTTCCATGAACCTGCTCATAGGTTGATAGTCATTTGCTAGCGTATTTCTTAGCTTAGAATTGTTGTCACATCATCAACTGCAAACAAATAGCTTGGACCTAGGCCAGCCTAAGGTGGGCTGAATCTTTCTATATATACATGGGGTTATACGACAGTTAGTTTTATTCACGGTGATTGGGTTAGGTTATCTCTGTATCGATATCTCAAAAAGTCATTCGTGCGGAAAACCCCATTCAAATTCATCTCCCGGTAAAGAAAAATGCTGAATTAATCTACACAACCCCCTAGAAACCATTTGCAATTGAGAACATGAGTTGATTTCCAAATTAGACTATAGATATCCCCGGAACTGTTCACCCTAGAAACTTTAAAACTCCCCGCGATCGGTGAAAGACACCATTATTGGAAGTGAGATGATGATAAAAATGACATCGAAAACTAGTGACTATTTGCGATCCTAAAGCATTCATCCCCCTGTATTCATGAGACTGCGAGAGTTAGACATTGGGCAAGACAAACAGAGCAGTCTGGAAATCGATCACTCACATGCTCATCCTCAACTATTGTTCACCTGGTTGATTTATTTCCACGGATGCTCCAATCGTCACCAGCCTGCTGTTGGTGATAAACATGGTTGCGTGAGTACCCGGATCGGGTATCGTTTGATGAGGTAGTAACGCTTCCCACTGCATTCCAAGGAGTTTGTTGAGGAGTTTCGGCAGCCCAGCGATCCATTGGCGTCATCGAGTCCGTATTGGTAGTCGAGTGAGAAGTGTATGACTTTTGAGTTTGGCTTTGAGCATTACCGTTGCTTGATGGCATAGCACGGTTGACTTCTGTGAATTGACTTTGGGTGTAGTAGTTGGTCCACTGCCCATTGGCTGTATACTCAGCTGTATTTGCGCTGTCCGAAGATTGGACCTGAGCTGCCTAGATTATGCATTAGTGAAAGAACTAACTTTGATCAAGAAGAGCATACCTGAGCGGCCGATTGATCGTATGATAAGTTGGCCATTATGACGGAGCTATAATGAACTTGGTGGTTTTGATATGGCCTTGAAATATGCTTTGAGAGTTTCTGATCGGGATACTGCGTTCTCTGGTCTCTTTTATGTTAAACGACCGATATCTCGCGTTATTTGGATCAAAAAACTGTGAAAGTTGAGCAAGTAAAGACTTGAGCTTTCAATGAAGCTTCTGATGATGAACTAACAGTATGGTTTCCTCTAAATTTAGGTGAAATGAGTTGATTTGAGATAGAGAGACTTTGAAGCGTACAGGAAGATTGAGTGGAAAATTGGCGCTCTTTATATAAGAGTTCATCTTCTTACTAAAGCTTCCGCCTTCCTCTTGTCTACCATGTTGACAGGCAACTTTCACAGTCTTCGTCAACAGCTGGGGACTTTTGTCACCCAGACCCAAATGACATAGGTCTTTGTTTTCGCCCAACTAAATGGAATTTGACTAGGAATTGGGCAGAAAGAAGGTGGTGCAAGACACTTAACAAAGTCCCATGCTGCTGGGGACTTTTGGCCTTGCCAAACATCCTACCGACGAGCCACAGTCAAGATTGCCTTTTCACAAATTTTCTGTATTGCTGTGCACCAATTGCGGCATATTCATGCAGGGGAAATGTGAGCACTTAGCCGAGATAATATCACGGCTGCAACTCCGTTGAATCCAGATGATATCTCTGGTAGCTGTAGGGTACTTTTGGTCAGTTCCAATCCCAAAGTTCCTCAGCCTCCTACAAGGGTGTTCATGTGGGGGAATTTTGTGGTGTGACCTCATGACATCGTTAATTGTCCCTCGCAAGCCGTCAACAACCACCTAGACACCCAATCTAGTGGTTAGAGGTCTCTTTCGGATTGCTGGCGATCTCAATACCTTCCACGCACACAGTTGAAGCAATGAGCTATCAGAATAATTTGAAAGCAATTTCGATACGGCATATCCTCAAAGTAGAGTAACATTCTTTCCGAAATTTTATATCGATAGTAAAATGTCCAATAGTTTGTACGTGTAGACAGGATCTGGTGGATATGGAATTGGATCTTTTAACTGAATTGATTGTTAACTAAATTACAGTTGGGTCGATTTCATGCCTCAGAAGTATACAATACATCAAACTAGACACGCGATTAACTCCGACGTGGCTCATTTGCGCCAGAAAATATTGATACGTGGAAGGTTGTCCTGAATGAAATTTTGGTGTTGATCTAGCTTGCTGGTAAATTTTATCGCAAGAAATTTGGCGATCATGTTGCTGTCAGATTTTACCGCTGCCTTACCTACATTCCCTACAGAATGAACAAAGTCGATTTCTAAGGTTGGCTAATAATACGCGAGGGACTTTTGTTCTTACCCAATCGTCTATGTTACATTCAACCTAGCGACTTATTATCATTACCATGTACAATCGCTCGTGCATGAGCTGGCTTACTTTGTTGATACGTACACAGTACACTATGGTCTGGGAAACCTGATATGGAAGGGGACTTTTGGTCAGCCATTGAAATGCATCGCAAGGCTAGGCTCTGCAAAATTGACTGATAAGTATCAGACTGTTTCCATTTTCTGTAATTCATAGCCCAGCAAAAATCACTCTTCAATTGGCGTCGCGGAAAGTGTTTCTTCCGTCGCAGGTCTCTCATCACCGAAAATAAAATAATTATCTACGAAGCACTTTTTCATTTCCCATCATCCCAGAGCATTCATCCTTACCAAATCCTCACATCAACATTATGTCAGATCAGACATTTATCGAGAATCATATTCTGATGGATATTGAAGCACAGTCCTCACTGCCTACCGGAGGCCACAAAATCCTCTCCAGAGAAGAATGGTTGAAATTCAAGCCAATCATACAGCAATTATATATAGACGAGAACCAGACATACCCTACTGTTGCTCATGAACTCGCAAGAAGGTTCGACTTTTACCCTACGTAAGTGCTTGGTTTTTGATATTACTTATTGAACGGGAAAGACGTGATGTCGCATCTGGAGGTTTCTCTGCCTCTTTTGAAAGAATGAAGTTTAGCATAGAGATATTAATACTCTGGTTATAGAAAACGTCAATTCACACGGAAGACCGAGGAGTGGGGTTTGAAGAAGAATTTCAGGAAGGCGGAAAGGAAGCTTCTTCTTCAAAATGACAATAAAAACGGCATTGTGAAGTTTGTTATTGGAGACAAACGTGTTTCGGATACCAAAAGGATCCAAAGGCTGAAGAGAAGATATGCACACGAAAGCCCATTGTCTCGAGGTTTGATATTCTTCAAGATAATTACCCATTCAGCGAACGCATTCTAATGCTTGGTTTAGTACATCCAGATATCTCCTATCAAGACACCAACATCACGCCAAAATCTGTTGGGCCATATTGCTTACTCGAAGAGCAACTACCCACATCAAATTATGTGGGTGAAATCGCTTCAGCTCATGTAGAATCGAAAATCTCAAACGTTACCGAGGAGAATGACGCTATGGATCTGGAACAATGGCCCTTCAGTTGGGTTATTGGTGTCCCTGGATCTCCTGGATTAACTGGACTGTTTAGACTACTGGAGATTGAAGCTTCCATGCCACCGCTAAATCTTGATGATGAAGTCGTGGACACGAAACAATTTATCTCCGGAAACGAGCTTCGCAATGTTATAGAGTGCCACGAAACATCAGTTAAGCAGATGTCTATCCTCTATAATCGCGCCGAATATGGCTACATGCCTAATAATGTGGTGCAACCTGTACTCATTCCAAGAAAAGAAATCCAATGGAGTCCGTTGTTCGAGCTTGATCTTTTTCCAACTTCTCAAAATACCTGTCATTATCGGCGTGGAGTGGTGCTTGCACCTTCATCCAGCCCATTGATTGACGTGTGGGAAAAAGAAATTAAAGAGTGGAAATTTAAGCTTTGCTCATTTAGGATGACTTTACCAGACCATAACCCAGCAATTATTTTAGTTCTCCAGCATTTGATTCATCTCCACAAGCAAAAAAGGAAAACTTGCTTACGTTTACATCGTCAACTTCTAGCTGCAAGGCTGAAGGAGGGCTGTCCCAATAATTACAAGATAATGGAGGTATATTTCGAGATTGTCATGCAGCTTTTGTCGAAAAGAAAAGTTCTGGAAGCGACATACCTATATCGAAGCTTGTGTGAAGCGATTCAACAATCGCAACTGAGCTCTGAGCACCCCTTCTATATCCGACTCTCCTACCTCGAAGCTTATGTTTTGTACAATAATAGTCAGTATGCAGAGGCCGAGTTAGTCATCCGATCAGTGATACGGAACGTCTTAAATAACCGGGATCTGGACCGCAATCAGGAAGTGACAAGCGATGCACTCGAGCTTCTTGGTCTCTTGATCGGAGGCAAAAAAGAAGATTTATATTCAGAGGCCGAGAAGCTATATAGATACAACATTCACCAACTGAATAAACATGACCGAAGCCTGAGTAAGAGTTACTTTAAAAATATGAACGGACTGATCTGGGTTCTTTTGAAAGACAGAAAGACTGAAGAAGCTTACAGTCTGTGTAGATGTATGATGGAGCACGTTGAACAAGCATTGGGCAAGAGGCACTCTTGGTATGGCGTTTACCAGCGTCAGCTGGGCTCTATCCTTTCTGATAGAGGCATGATATTTGAATCCATCGAAATCGTCCACAATATACTGCAGCAAGTAGATCACTGTTTACTACCCGAGAGGTATCACAATCTTGGTTCCATCCTAATGAATGGGGGAAGTTTCGAGGAAGCAATAGTCATGTACAAAAAAAGTCTCTCAATTGACGTTCAACAGCAAGGTTGGTGCAATTTTGGGAATTTAAACGAAACATGTGGCAAGCTAGGGTATTGTTATGAAGAGTTGTCCCAATTCCAGGATGCATTGTTCTTGTATGAGAAATTGTTAGAAAAATTAAAGAGTGTCACTGAAGATGACAATCCGTTTATCAAGGAAGTCGAGGTTTGGATTTCTGAGGTACAAGAGCTGATGGAAGAAAGCAGCGCTGTTTGTGAGGAATCGAACGCTGCCTGTGATTTCCAAATGGGAGGAGTTAGTAATGACTCGAAGTACGAACAGTTTGGCGAGGGTGTATTAGATGACGTGAGCTTGAGAGAGATATTTGAGATGGAAGACAGGGCGCTGGATGAAGAGGTTGCCGATATAGGCAAGCAGTTGACTTCAATAAAACTTTCCTAGGTTGTACTAGTAGGTAAGTTTTGCTGTCAAGAATCAGCATTCACAACTAGCGAACATATTTACAGATTCACAATAACTTTTACATGATTAGAATAAGATATCTCGAATTTAAGATTGATAATCTGTTCCTCATACAGCCAGATTCCGGACATCAATTCATTTTTCATTGTCTTTATTTATTACATTACTTTACGTCATTAACTTTTTGTATCCACGATAATATGCCTGCCTTGATGCTTTCATCTACCACTTCAACCATCAGCCCGACCGTCATCTGCAGCATTTATATTGGATGAAATCTTTCCCGCGATTTTCGCCATCATAACTCTATTCCGCCACCCATTCTCTCTTCCAACTCCCACTTCGTTCTCTATAACTCAGTCTTACAAACAGCTCCCGGACACCTCCAAATATCCGTATAGCTAGAGCCACTGTTGTACCCAATACTGCAAACTGGGGTTCTCACACCAGCCGTTGGGTTCGTCGTGTTAACGGCTGTACAATTGCCTCCTAGGATATTTCTAGAACTTGTATACCAAGAGCCTGAAGTTACGTTGAGATTGACTTCTACACCGCAGATGGCGACTGGTGGTGTGTCAGTTTCTATCATTTGTTTTCTGGGGAAAAGCATGGAGACTGAGGAAACAAGAGAAATGGGGGAAGCTAAATAGAAGTGGAAAGGAGGAAAACATACCCTTCACCTGGCCCGTGGGAACCTCAAAACCAAATGGTCCCTTGGGGTAGAAATCATACGCCTCCGTACAGTTCGTCTGAGACGCTGGTAAAATCATGGCATATCTTCCTGTGGCTGTCGTGATTGTGTAATCTGAGAATCCGTAATGGAAATCGGCCAAGGTTGTGAGAGGGAGAGCGAGGAGGGTTGAGATAGAAAGGAGGGAGGCACGCATTTTCGTATTTGTAACGGAGTTTTTGGGAAGCTTTGATTGTGTGAGGTGTAGTGATGAGGTTTGATTGTTCAAATGAGATGATGTTGTAATTAATAATTTCAAATGATTTCACTTATGTATATGATCTTCGAGATTTACAACGCAGCAGAACCCCTACTCTTATATACCAAATTTTCCGTACCCCATCCCATTCTTACATTCCCGTCCCATATCCCTAATACATCATCTCACATATTCAACAGGCCATACACAACAGCGTTCAAATCTAAAATGTACATTTAACAGTCAAAACAAGCATAATCCGCAATGTCGATCTCCTAGCCACCTCTATCTCCAATAATCACTAACGATTCTTTCATCTCATTGGCTCGTTCGCTGCCATCCTCTTTGCCAAGCCTCCAACGCAGAGTACGATCTGCAGGAATACGAGATGCGATTCATGATGTCAGGTACGGGTTCTCGGGGTTCTCGTGTTGGGAATTAAAATCACGAGGTTTCTTCGTCAGACTCACACTGCATGGAGAGGAATGAATAGGATGAAGGAGGTGGAAGGGGATGTCTAGATTGATAGAATAGGGTGGGGTTTTATCTATATGATCGTGTAATGTTGTACTGAAATGGTAGTTTTGGAAAGACCACTGTGTTACGCAGTGAATGCTCGGAAGTACAACTAGGGATGTATAATTATATCTTCGGAGTATTTATTGGGAGCCCGATCAATGCTACGTTACGGGTGTGGCTGTGAGGGGAAGGGAGGAAACTGGTACGAGCCGTCCATGATGCATTGGTTAGTTCAATATCAATGTTCGCAAAACGAAAAGCCAGCCCTTTATGATTAACGGGCGAAGATCCTCAATTTCAATGAATCGGCTATGCTACACAAAGACTACCTCACTCACTATTAATAGCAATTAGAGGAGATGTCGAAATTCTTACAACATAGGGATTAGCGAAGATAGGGGCTACTCAGATGCAATGTGCCAGGAATGGAACGATTGACGGTGATATGACCGACCACGATATCTTCAATTGAGTGAAACTAGAAGGTTTCGATGCAGATTTCATCACATGTAAGAACTCCCAGATGGGAAGATAGAAAATTGATGGATGAAGCTGTAAACGACATATGCTACGGAAATGCCTCGACTTCAGCCCAATCAGATGCTTCCAATTCAAGCAGTTCATCCTAGGGTGAAAGCTTCAAAAAGAGGATTCCAAAGCCTGTGGACGACGCTGGGAATGAAATATTCCACGACAATACCTACCTTTTCAGTCACATCTGGTGCATCTGACACTGGCGATTCATTTAGGAATAGAAGCTACAAGGAGAGAGGATGGAATTAGACCCCAGCTGAGTAGGATCAATATATGGCGATATTTGACCATCCCCGAGGCAATATGATATGTAGTAGTTTGCTTAAATAATACTTGATCGATTGGTGATTTACGAGCAGAGATGAGGATTCAAGAGCCAGTATTTGAGAATCAAAGTTGTTGTCACAAACAAGCTGAAAGTGACACCTCAATGCCCCTTTTCATTGAAGCTGTGAACATTTCAAATAGAAAGAATTCCAAAGATGATACATTAGAATGAACAGACAACTCTACCACACGTCAACTAACAATTGCATCTACAAGATAGACTCGCGGATAATGATATGATGCCAATGTAACCTGTCTCATCTAGAACAATAAAATGGTAGTACCCAGGCATTAGCGACTTGTTCTAGCCCATAAAAATAGCATATCGGTCAAAACTTTAACCTAAATGCCGATTGATCTTCAGCCTTACCAAACCACTAAAAATTCCAACAAACAATCTAATTGAACTACCACTCTACCTACAACCCAGCCCAGCCTCGAACAGCTGTGACTCTTCAATCGCAAACAATATATCGCATTTACACAATCCCATACCAATACCCATACCCATATCCATATCCATAGCCACTCGACAAAATGAGCGGTCCCGTCCACGATATCCAAGCCCCTGGTATTCAGGCACAGGGCGAAATATTATTTCACATGCGAAGAGAAGTCGCGCAACTACTCAATCGATCCAATCCCAGTTTCCCCGGCGCACAGCCTGTCAGTTTCACCAGACGTCACCTCGATGAATTGACGCGACAAGATTATTACGTCTGCGAGAAATCAGATGGTTTTCGTTACTTACTCTATCTGACTGATGATGAGGCCCATGAAGAATGCCATTATTTGATCGATAGGAGGAATGATTATTGGTATGTACCGAAAGGAAGCCTACATTTCCCTATTCCTCGCGATATCGAAGGATTTCACAGAAAGACTTTGATTGATGGGGAATTGGTCATGGATAAGACACCGAATGGGATGCAGCCGAAATTCCTCGTCTTCGATTGTATGGTGTTGGATGGAAACAGTCTTATGAATCGCACACTCGATAAACGACTTGCATATTTCTCCGAAAGGATCTTCTCGCCTTACCAAGACCTCTTGCGCAATTTCCCTCAAGAGATACCTTACTTTCATTTCTTAATGGAGTTGAAACGAATGGAATTTGGCTATGCAATGGAAATGATGTTTCGACAAACCCTACCAAACTTGCCGCATGGAAACGATGGCTTAATCTTCACATGCAGAAGTTCGGAATACAAACATGGAACAGATCAGAATATATTGAAATGGAAACCCGAGAACGAGAATAGTATTGATTTTAAACTCGGGCTCGATTTCCCCACCGTTGAACCCGACGCGATGGATTTCGCAGAAGGAAATACAGAACCATATGTTGATTACGATGCGATTCCAGTCTGCAACCTACTCGTCAATGCAGGGAATGGAAAGGATGAATGGTACGGAACTATGCATTTAGAACCAGAGGAATGGGAGAAGTTGAAGGAACTTAACGAACCGCTCAACGACCGAATAGTAGAATGTTACATGGATGACAAGAAGAGATGGAGATACATGAAGTTCAGAGACGATAAGGAGGTTGCAAATCATACGAGTACAGTGGAGAGCGTTATTGAAAGTATTCGGGATCGTGTGACGGAGAAGGATTTAATTGCCGCTGCACCTCGAATCAGGGATGCATGGAAGAGGAGAGATGCGGAGAAGAAAGCCGCAGCCGCCGCCGCCGCTGCTGCTGCTGCTGCATGAGTGCGTAATAGGGACTTTATCGAAAGCTGAGGGTATGGCAATCTCACGAGGCATGTTTCTTTCGGAGATAATCTTCAGGCGTTAGGCAGACGGAAAAGAAATCTTATTTGTACCTTATTGTATATTACGTGGAACAGCTGCCACTATCTGGTGCAAGCGAAAGGGGAATGGAGCAAACGATAGGAAATGATACCCTTTGATGACTATTGATGTTCAACACGAAATCTGCTTTGGGTGCAAACGCCAGAATTACTCTCAAATCATATTCAGCCTTTAACTACGAGCTGGAACTCATGGTTGACTCCATATCAAGGGCTGGAGAGTGACGTCTGTTTTCGCCGGGGCCCGAACTTATGGCAATACTGCATCAATCCAGGTGTATCTTATTAGTACATAGATCTATTCCCATCACATACTTTTATTCTTATTCAAATATCATCATTGTGAAAGTCATAACAGGGGAAGGGAAAGAAAAAATCCACAGATTAGCAGAATCAACTTCCCATACTCTCATGAAAACAATGCAGAGCAGGATACTAAGCAGAGCTACTCGGGAAACTCGACTTGGCGATTCGAGTCCATAGTCTCAAAAGAGATATCGAAGACCGCCGCCCAGAAAACATACTGCAGACCTATCATTTATGTCTTCGCTTATGATGAAACAAGAATAAGGGATAATGAAACTCGATACATTAGATACAGTACTACATTAAGAATATGCAAGAAGCGAAGGAATAACCATTACTACACATTTTCCCTCGACCTCCTCTTTCCGATTACCTAGCTCCCGGCCACCGCTTCAAATCATCCAGACTTGTGCATGTTCCGGTAGCCGCAAGTTTCCAACAACCAAATTCTTTCAACTCCTCCACGCCCAGTGCCAAACCTGTTGCAAAATTACCCCTCCCCCTGACACCCCAAAGATCACCAAACCTGCGGACCAAAGTGTTCGCCCACACCCACCACTTTCTGCACCGCCGCATCTTGTGCATCCAGCGTACTCCTCACAATAGTATTCCCCCACCACTTGGGCGCCTCCACTCCATTAACCGTAAAGGCTACAAAAATGAATATCGTACTCAACGCTAATCCCAGATCCAACGCCGAACTCGTCAAATAATTAAGACGACTCCACCATCCGAAGTATTTCTGTCTGATGACTTTTTGAAAAATGAAACCTACAATTCCCCAACTGAGATAATTGAGAGGAGTCGCGGGTGGGATTACTGCTGCGCCGCCGAAGATCAAGGGCGCCATTAGATACTTGATTGGTGATTTGGGAAATTTTTTGGATAGGAGAAAGAAAATTACGGGAACGATTGCTCCGAGACCAAAGAACCAGAATAGGGCGGAATAGATTTGACCTGGGGAGAAGATGCGTTGGGGGCCAATGAGACCCCATATTATGGATGCGGAGAAGAAGACGCGACCGCCGGGACAGGTGAAATGAGAGGGTTGATGCGGAGTACAGATGTCGGGGATGTTGTTCAGAGCGTAGTTGAGGACTGCTACTTGAATGAAGCAGGAGAAGGTTGTTGCGACTACTTGGGCCATGAACATTGTTCTCGGTGGAATCTAAGGCCAAAAGAGGTAAGCGAGGGAGTCAAGAAATGGCGAGAGGGACTTTCTGGGACGAAATGACGCGAAAGGAATAGGGGAAAATGCATACCTTCATATAGTGACCAAATTTCAGATCGCTCACGAATCCCAACGCCTGACTCATGGTAATATATCCATAGGTTTTAAAGATCATCAAAGCTAACGGCTTTCCAGGCTGCAAATACCCGAAGATAAACTCCGTCAATACATTCAGTCCGATTTGGGTATTGGTAATTGCCTGAATAATGCCAATGGGCAATGAAAAGAAGAACGATATTCCCAGGGCAATGAGGAAAGCCCACCAGGTGAGATTGGTGGGGAACGCAAGGATGGTGATGAAGGAAAGTCCGACCATTACGATGAAGAGAGACATGTACCACCAAGTGGGAGCTTCGGGATATTTTTGCATCATCTGTAAACAGGGTTAATATGTGCGCTGTGTTATAGGAGGGATGAAAGAATAAAGCACACATACCTTCATGTGAATATCAGGAGTCTGTTCCTTGGTGCTATTACGGAATTGAGCCCAGATTTGCTTTCCATGGTGTAGATATGTGTAAACAATCAATGAAGAAATGGCTGCAAATGACAAGCCGTACGAGATAGCGAAAGTAGTTGACAGAAAAAGAGGTGAGTATGCCTTGTATTCAGCAAGATCGAGAGTAAAATCTTTGGCTAGAATTCTCGTAGTGTTGTATGCAGCTCCGGTATTGTCGTACGTAGCGCTATCACTCATGGGTAAGAATGCTGAACTCCATGCTCCGGAGTAATGAATAATTGATGCACCGATCATGTAGAACGAAACCATTCCAATGAGCGTATTGGCAATTGCATGCCATCTATGATATAAATTAGCACATTGAATAAAGAATCAACATTGGGAATTACTTACGGAGGAATCATAGGGCTCCCTATAAACCCAGAAATTTGGGTCCAATCAAAGGTCAATGGTATGAAAGAAAGACCACTCGTACCACCGAATAATTGGTTAACAATAACATTGTTAGGAGCAATCCAAGTAGCGAAGGCGAAAACCGATAGGAATTGAGCCAAGAATCCAGGAATGAAGTACCAAAAAAATGCACCAGCAGTCACATATCCAAACCATCTGTAGCGATGAATTGAACCCCCAAAGATAGTTGGATCGGGTCTCTCGTTATTTTCGTACATGGCGTTCATTAGGGTGACGCTGACGAGGTTGGCGGGCCAGATCATGGCTGCAGGATACCTGAGTTATGTGTTAGTAGATGCTTATTAGGGAGTGCGCGTGCTACATGAGCATTTCAGACGGAACATCATATGCGGGTTAACGAATGCTCAAGAAAGACAGCACGGTGGAGGGAAAGCCAGTGTAAAACACAAATTAAGTCGGAACAATTAAAAAGGAATTTGGTTAGAAGACTTACACCAAGAACTTGCGCAAGATGCCAGCAATACCGTAGCCAATAGATTGGGTTGAAACAACCAAAAGTACTTGGAAAACCAACCCGAAATCTTGTTTGTAGAACGCAATTTGGGCAAGCAAAATATCAGTAGCGTATGCTGCGCTAAAACTTACGCTTGCCATGACGACGATGATAGAATGTTCTTTGATATTGAAAGGTCCCGGATTCAATGACCACTTCAAACCAAAGGTATTGAATTGCTTATTTGGCATGACTTTAGCCCATCCATGACCTAAAGGCCAAGCGATGATTTGAGCAATCAACGCTCCTAGACCGATCGAAGGAGATCGAAGAGAAAAGAGGGTATTCATCGATGCTCCAACGACTACCAGTAATAGCCCGATAGTCCAGGCACGAATCGTGTTCGCGGGTACATCCTCATCATAGTTCTTGACCGCGGCTCGGACTTCCGGGTATGGAGAATCTTCCTCGACTGCTGTGTAGGCATCATCATCATCAAAAGACGACTTATCCGGAACTTTCAACTCCTTTTCGTCCTCGGGGTAGTTGGGATCTATCTCTGTATAAGCTTGTTGCCCATGTACTGAAAACCATGCGAACAAACCCCATAGTGAGAGTCTTGCTTTCAAATCCGTTACTGGATCTGATCTAAGTCTAGCCATCGAAATCCCCTCCGTTATATCTCTACTACTACTATTAATATCATGCATCCTAGGATTTGAATCCCGATCACCCTGAACTCGTTCATAGAAGAGTGCCGTCGGGCCAGCCAACTTTTCTTCTTGTGAGGAGTTCATGATGAATAACACGGAGATCGATCAACGGTCTGACGAGAGAAGAGATCCAAGGAATACATAGTATATAAGTCATTGCGATACAATAGTGTCCCACCTTACGCACTAGCATTCAGATTCCAAAATCCCCGATTAGAGCACGGCTTGATTTCAGACCTACATGGAGCACCATTGATCCGGGGAAGGACATCAGATGGGATTTCGCTTCAACACATCAATGATTCCCAGCATTCTACTATAGATCAGAATAGTGGACACAGGTTGCGTGATTTTTCCTAAAGAAAATTGATAAAGCCTGGGATGTGGACATTCAAATATACTCTTCAGCGCTTGCTTCAGAGGAAAGCATGAATATTGACATCAAATGATCCCTCATGTCTAATCGCCATCTTGCAATTGGCCCCAACGCCATCAATATTACGAAATTAACCTTAAATAAGCTCCAAACTCAGAGAGGCAATGCGTATACTCCATGAAACAGTACTGCGGCGAAAAATCTTCATGCATGGGGGGAATAAACATCTACTAGAAGAATCAAACGAAACAAGCGACCGAAGCCACGGTACCGGTAGATGATAAGGAGCATCAGATCTCGGAAGCTCAAGATCTGCTCCGCACTCCTGAAAGATAACATAAAGTGGCGGTCGCATTTGCCCTTCTTTTTCCATGTTTGAAACGTCAAACCGGACATCTAATGGTTGCTCACGGACCTTCGTGACCGAGCATCTAATTTGATGTCAATTGTTTGTATTAAAAGTACAGGGGTCAATCTATGATCATCGGAGGTTAGTTGTAAAACTGTGCAATCCGTTAAGTACACAACTCTCAAGCTGCAAATACCTAATCACGTCGATTCATCAGTCTCGATACAGATATGATGTGAGGTGTGATTGCGCAAACACACTAACACCAATATGTCTTAGTTCGGCCACGATTAATCTACAGAGGCTGTGCTGTAAACTTCACATCATGTCAATTCAATGTTGTATTTCGGATCATAAGATCAACCACCAATAACTTTCTGGGTGCAGTATCCAAAGAAGTGCCCCCAAGATGAAAGATGGGCTTCTCTTTCTGTCCACACAAACCAATGACTTCTGCACGCATATGTTCACGGAAACGAGCTAGATTAGATCATCACATTGCCGGTATGCAAGATCAATTGAGAGTCACTATGTATTGATCGAAAGTCTATACACAAACCCTTTAAATCCAGGCGATAGCCAATATTCGCTGCAAAATATGAGCAATCATAAGTAGTGCATATCTCATGCGCAGAAGTGAAGCATTAAACCCAAATCAAGTAAGTGACCCATATTGTAATGACGAGCTGTGTCCATAAAATCATCATCATCGCCCCTTTCATCCTATCGTTCTTCCATCCCAGGAGTTGTTGCGTAATATTCGTATGTAGTAGTAAAAATTGAGGACCCCAAAGTGACTGGAGAGTTCGACTCGAGATTTATAGGATTTAGAAGAATGATGAAATATTGTAATATTTTCTCTCCCTTTAACAACTCTCCACGAATCATTTGTCGCCATCAACCATGAAACTACTCAGGCAATCTGGCGGCGTAGAAAACACCATCAGTTACATACCACTACACCATGAAACCACTGATCAGCGATATACCAAAATCATAACGAAGCATGAAACTTACTCTGATTTTACCAATATCACCACTGTCAATCGTCATCCTGTTTCTCTGAGTCCAGGTATCATCGAGCTCCCGAACCCAATACATACGAAAAGGATCGTCATCAGATGGCTTCATATCTTGCTTCTTGTTGGCCTCTGGTATTTGCATCTGTTGCAATTGAATTTCACTACCGGTAGCTCCGTATGTGCCCATGGCGGGCTGGTGAACATAGCCTGCGCCGAAAGGTACTTGTTGATTGTTGCCTGCGAATTGGAGATAAGGGTTGTAGGGATAAGGTTGGAAGGCGGGTTGAGGGTAAACGGGTTGATGTTGAGCTGCCTATTGCAAAGAAGACATGTTAGCAATGAAGACAAGAAATTGCGATGTTGATGCAAGTGACAAATTTCAAGCGCAACTTGCGCAAAAGTAAAGTGAATAGAGAAAGAATTCAGAGGTTGAACTTGCAGCAAGTGCATAAAATTGCTGGAGGCTGGGAGATTGTGCGGATGGCATGGCAGGTGCAGGTACGACTGGAATCGGAGTCTTGGTCTCTCGAACGTAGACAACACCATTGACAATAATAGCACCGTCAGCGCGTGGGATGTAGGTATGTTCGTGAGGTCCGGCGGTAGTATCTGGAACCTGGGGTTGGAAGTTTTGGACGGGTACTTCAGTCATTGTTGCTTGAATGCTTTGGAGTTTTGAGAATACTTTATTGGTTGTAAAATCGATGTAGTTGATTTCTATATCTCTCAGAAGTTGAGATATAGAAATGAAATCTTGAGGTGCCGCGTTCATGGAATGGTCCAACGTTCAAGCTGTAGAGTTTTTGTTTGCGAAATATTACTCAAGTAAAACTTTGAGGTAGGAACAGAAGCGATATAGTGAATTTCTGTTTTGTATTGACAAATGACACAGGTACAAATGACCAACCTCGCGGCAAATGTAAAATAACAAGAAACCAGTTTTATGGATGGAGGAAATGAGAAGAATACAAACAACAAGAAAGGAAGGAACAAAAAAGTTGACTTACATCTCCAATTTGGACCCATTGACGTGTATTAGGATCGAACACCATAATACTTCTATTGTCTTTCTTCTTCTCCTCCTCGAGATATAAATCCGTAAAAGGCCAGCATGGGAGACACATATTAACAATCTCTTGAGGTGTGGCACCCAGTGTTGATGAAATTCAGAATTGAGAGTTGATAATTCAACTTGAAAGAGACATAGACATGTCCTGGGAGAGATGGGGTGTGGAACGCTTATGGCTTCTGTCGGCATAGATCAAAATATAGTCATTTTCAAATTTTATCAAGATTTATCAGAATCTGGAGTGAATACAAGGAAAATAACTTCAGACTGCACAATATTAGAAGCATGGGCTCGAACAAGCTCCCTCTTGACCCTAGACTCCATATGTCATTCTGTGCATCCTTTGTCGTCTGCATATAGTCGGTATAATATAAGCTCATGAAGTGCCGTTATGTCTGCTTGGATAGATGAAAAGATTTTGAGGAAGATGCTTACCTTGAAGCTGGATATAGTAGACAACACCCACACAATCTTGCATAACATGGCTGCTTTGAGACGGCAACAATTTGTGCTATCTAGGTGAGATGATCTCCCAAAAGATCTTCTAATTTGCGATGTGGTAAACTCATTGCCTTTGATTCTCTTGAGGAGGAGTTGCTACTTATGGATGCGCAATTAAACATTCGATTGTGACTTGCACCCCAAAGACTCCTGACTCTCGATTATAGCAATGCGAGCTAAAAGTATCAAGTTGCCGTACTTTATTACCAGGCACCTAGGTTTTAGTCCTCGGTGTGAGCTTCTGGAGAGGCTTATTGATTACATTCCAGTTTTCAATCCAATCGTCTCCGTATTCACCAACGGCATCTCCATCATCAAAAAATCCAGCCTCCTCCAGTTCCTTCTCCCATTCTGAACTGTAAGCGCGCTCCTCTTCACGTCTATCGGTATATCTCTGTTGACAATCTCGATCCAACGACTAGTTGAGACATAATAGTTAGTACTGGGATACGGACGCTGATCAATGGGGCGTACCTACATGCATAATCATGACACTGCATTTAGTTGGCTGTCCCCACTCTGCATACTTGAAATTGACACGGCGGATGCCATCCAGCATAACCATATAGTCATCTTTATCCTCGATGGGTCGCCACCCTGGTTTATCAGCAGGATTTTTACCTGTATGTGGTAATCGATACATCCATGGACCATCCGTAAGATTGAAGCCCTTGTCAGCGTGGTCTCGTCCTGCTGTTGCTGATAGTTTCTGAATGGATTCAGGATTCTCTGTCAATATGTCATTCCGGTTTGTATTCTGGGTACCGGATGTGTTCTCGGAATTCTCATTGTACATTGCAACTTCTTCAGCCCCAAAGCTGACGGATGGCCAAGAGAGAGCAGGCATTACGATGTTCTCGGGTGGAATCTTGCTATTTCGAGTTTCATCCTTGAGCGTACGCTCAAACTTTTCGAAAGATGTTTTGTACTTGAAGTAAAACAAGTTCACCCGAGAACCTTCTCCCCAGCCATTTATCAAAGTCACTAACTGAATTGCAAAATCATGACTTTCGTTCTCAGCTTCAATGTCGAGTCTTTCTCGCTCGAAATCCTCAACAATAAAGAGTGCCTTTATTCATGGAAGTTAGCAAAAATGCAACGATTGTGTGTTGGATTTACACTAAAAATAACAAAAACAAAGGTCTGGATTTGTACCTTTGCCAGAATTGCTCTCTTGAGTATGTCTGGATCCTTCCTTAAAAGGCCCCTCGCCATGATGTCCTCGTCAAGAAGAGTCTCGACTGATTTCCTCATATCTTCAGCATCGGGGTGTTTTAGATACCAGCGTATATCTTTGCGTAGCTTATCACACTTGGCATTATCTTTTGCAGCTCTCTCCACAATTAACTGTAGACCTTCATCCTCTCCTAGTGACATAGAAGTGGCAAATACAAAAGCTGTGTTTGGATCGTACATCGAAAGGTTTGTCAGAGTCGTAGAGGGAATACCCTTTGGAGCGCCTCTTCCTTCTTTTAAAAGACTAACGAAAATCATGTGCTTAACTTCAGCAGGCGAGCAGGACCTTTCCGAAGGAGCTTCTATAGGGGAAGATGAATTCATGATGATGACTATTGTTTCTGCGTTCTGTGTTGATTCAAAGAGTTTGTTGAAATTCGATTTGCAAGAAGAGGGACTGAAAATATCGAAGAGAATTTTGAATAACAAGCGAAAGAAGATTGAGCACAATATAATTACGGCAGTAGCCGCTATAATTATCTAGTACGGAAGGATGCATAGAGCTTCACCTGAGGTGGTTTGAACACTTTGAATTGTTGATTCTGTTGCTTCTTTCACCGTAAAGAATTGATCTGACGAGCTAAGTTCATCTCACAAGAGGAAGGTGCAACCAATGCAACCTTGAACAATCTCGAGAAATCAGCACCAGATCTGAAATTCGATGTCTCTGAATTACTCCCCATACCTTTCCCATCTATGTTACATATTGCCCTTCTTGGGTAAAGAGGAGAGATGAACCCGCTAATGCAACCCGCGCCAATTAACAAAATCTATTATAATGACAAAGCACGAAACAATATGTGCTAATACGCTAAAGAAAGCTGGTTCTGTTTAGAGTAATGGAGGATATTCGCTGGTGTGCGGATCTTGAAATCATAAGGTCGGAGTTTCGTCATGGAAGAGGAGTTTTGTCGTTATTTGGTCATTTAAAATACGGCTTTTCTTGCAACCTTGGAAGTATTGTCAGTACATCTAGATTAAAAGAGCACAAGTTGAAGTGTCTACTTACTGCCCATGCGCCGGCTACGGAAGCCACAATTCCACCGGAAATCATCATAGGTCGAACTCCTCTTGTACTTTTGAAGATCATCCCACTCAGAGCACCTGCTAAAACACTGTTCGCAGAGTCATGTCTACCCCTCATATGCCCAATAAAAGAATTGAACCCATTGTAAACCATAGCAATCACTCCTGCGGAATTTCCCAAGAATGGCCCGCGTCTCGTAACAGCGTTCAGCACCGAGTTCAATCGCAACTTAGGCGGTTGTGTCGCAGACCTCCTCAAGCCCTCCTGTAATCCCCAAGCACCACCCACAGTTAGCGCCGTCAAATACGTCACACCGGTACCATAACACAAATCGTCTGACCAGCCTCTAGAGGGTAAAGCAGACTGCGACCCTGGAAGGTCCGAGAGGGTGGATTCTTCGAGAGATAGGTAATCTAAAGTCTGCTGATTCAGACCTGCCATAGGATGGAGTTGTGAAGGATCTACGAGTTCTGGCCCTGTGAGAAAAGAGCTGACATCTTGCCCTTCTTGTGGGTTAAAAGGTGTAGGTGTGAATGTGTCTGTTGGTGTATTTGAGGTTGTTGATCCGCCACTAGAAGCATCCTTTGATGGCTTTCGCCCTGTCAACTTGTCCCAGAATGACATCTTCGAAATTGATGTGCGAGAACGCCGAGGATGGAATTAGAATCGGCACGGTTACCGTGAGTTTGGGTTGTTGGTCGATAATATGTAATATCAAAAATTCTTTCGAGTACTGACGGTATCTTACATTTTCAAATTCAAAAATTTAGTTCCTTGATCGATTATGACGATGGGTCCGTGCACAACCAGCTCACGTGCCAAATATAATTAATTTCACCCACCATCAAACTTTTTATGATTGCAGTTCAGATCAAGTTACAAGTACGTTAAGAGACATTTGTGAGCCATAAGGGGTCGTCTTATCTTGTTTTCCCAATCTTGTATTAGACATGCAGTTTTGGACCTTCATATAATTTTCATTCATTTTTGGACTGGACATTTTGGCAGCGTTTTGAGAGAAGACTGACTTGGTATTCGAAATCATTCCCCCCTCCCCCACCTGAAGCGAGGATTGAGGATTGCTTGTTAGTCGCTCGACCACTCAAACAACACAATGTCGTCAATAGTACCTGGTACCGAAGCTCCAACAGATGAACGACTTTTGCCCAAATGGATCGAAAATCAACCCGAATCAAACCAGTTACAGTAATGTTGAAGCATCTTTTTTAATTGGCCGTTTTACTAATCATGTTTCCAGACTTACGAGAAGCAGCCTTGATGATTTTTTGGAAAAAGCTGCCCAACCGCGACATGTAGGCAATTTCTACTCTTCAATACCTAGCTGTCTTTCTGGTTCCTGTTGCATTCTCAATGTTGTACTCAGTCTGATTGTTCAATCCCATTTCAATATTTCATTCGATTTCAGATACATTATTTTTCCAATGCCCTCCTACACTTTAGAGATCAACCTCACTTCGGTGTGCAGCGCTTTCTCAATGTTTCCTGTGATTCCAATATCCGATTCGGTCTCAATGTTCAATCCAAAATCACAACTCTCAGATTCATTCCAACACCCCATTCTCTTTGGATGTTCTTCTTTACCTTAGCTACAGTCTTTTTTGATCGCATCGCGCCGTTTCAAAGTACAAGACGTCTAGACCTTTCATACTGACTATGTGATATCGCAGGCTTCTGGGAACGCATGCATCAAACTGTGTCATTTTATCGAACAGTGTAGAGCCTCGCAGTCATCTTTTCTCAAGGAAGCCGCATATTCCGAGAAAACTTGTTTAGACTTGTTCAATTTTTACTTGGAATGGAACGAGAAAAATCAGCACCGATCCATGCGTCAGATTCTAGATCTGTTGACATCTCTTCTTAATTCTCACCCCAATAAGTCTATCTCAAAGTCTCTTGTGACAATTATTGTAGAAAGATTACTCTCCATCATCAGTCATCAAGCTTCCCAACCCCTGGTCAAACCTGCTTTCAAGATCTTGGAGCACTTGGTGGGAAAAGGAATAATAAGCATCGAAGATCTCGCTACTCCTAGAAATGGATCTCCTCTTCTCACCGAACTAGATAAGTAAGTGATCCACCCATTAATCCCGACAATTGAACGTGCAAATCGCAATTGCACTCTAGAAATGTGTATTTGGCGTTCAAAGCAGCGCAACCTATATCTTTAGATAAACAAACCCATTCCTTCCTTGAAGTTGTTGTCCATTGTTCGATACAATCCGGAACATTCAAACACTGACGCTGATGCTAGAAGTGGTTCTACACTTGATATTATAGTGTCCGAAACGTTTCAATGGATGAACCTCCAGGATGTCTCGCCATCCGCGGGAAAGTTCTTGGTTTCTCTTTTTAAAGTATCGAAAGAATTCGCTACTCAAGATCAAAGTGATGAAACCAAAGATCACACTAGACTATGGCAACGATGGATCAGTGAAGGTCTTAGTAAGAACCCTGATGCTCTTGAGAATATCAAGAACTATCTTCTCCCTCCTCTTTTCAAGCTCGATCGCGTTGGTTCCTTGGCCTTTTTGCAGGATTTGAATCAAAAGGGACCTTTAAATATGAAGGGACAATACATGGAATCTGAATCGCTGGTTCATTTGTCAGCTATAGAAGTTGGGAAGAAAGCCGGCTTAGTCGAGGATTCTAGTAAGTTGCTTTCTCACTTCCACTTCCACACAACGGAGTATTTTAATTGTACCAGATGTCACATCATTCCTGAAGGCCCCAAAGAAAAACGCAGGCTGCATAATTCTACACGAAGATACTATTGGCCCATTATTGACTCATCCTTCCGATACCGTACGATCCTTAGCATTTTCGGTCCTAGTGTCGTCCGCATCATCAATTCGGCCCTTTAGCCCGGCAGCGCTCACTTTTTTACAGAAAAACATGGCTCATCTCTACGCTGACACAGATGCAAAATTTCGCAATGATGTTTTAAGCAATACCAAGCATTTGATAGAACGTATCAAGGGTGCAACCGCCTACCTCGTACGAGAGATTGACCGCATGATAATTCAAGACCGTCAGAATGATCGTTCGGATGCGCAACAACTACTTAACGAGCATGAGAGCTTCCTTACCTGGTTTCTGGAATTTTTGCAAGGGGAGCTTGTGCCTACTGCATCCTATCAGCGACACATCACGTCTTTAAGGGCGATCTCTTTGCTGTTGCGTTCTGGTTTAGAGGAGCGTTCATCTGAAGATCAAAAGTTGACGACTACGCCTGACGCCACTATATGGGCTCATACTCTAAGCATCTTCAACTCAGAGTCTATAAGGCTATTTCTTGATCTGCTAATGGATCCGTTTGAGGATGTCAGAAGCGGAGCCACTTCGATATTAAAATTGGCCAGTCCCCATAATTTCCGATCCTCAAAGTCACATACTTCTACAAACTTTGACGTTTTGTTGGAATTTATTGATCGTGCTGAGGGCTTTGCGAAGCGTACGGGTCGCGCGGACTTTGCGGACGGAGTTGCACGGTCTTACCAGATTCTATATGGCTTTTCGGATGTCAAGGGGCGTCTGAGTCTTGTCGAAGGCCTCATCGTTGGCCTAGAGAAAAAGGTGGTAATGGCCCAAAGAGATTTGGGTGAAGCTGTTCTTGTTGCTCCGATTCATAGCGACTTTTCAACCATAAGGTAAATTTCCTTGATAGCTATCAGGTACTAGGCTGACTGTTGATATCAAGCTATATTTGGGAAGAGATCGACTTCTCTCAGGATGATTCCAAGGATCAGGAAACTGCTGAAATTCGAAAAGCATGGGAAGACCTGCAAAATCGCATTGTTGTAAGTTGTTACAGCATATGGCAGGCTGTAAAAGACATACTATGTAATGACTCACCAGAAGGCCACATTCCCGAGGAAGTTGACGACGTAGAATCCATTGATACTAAGGATGTGTTGAGTTACAGCTTTAGGGCGATTCATGAATCTAGGTACAGCACTATATCATCAGATTATAGACTCTCGAGGCGCTAATATATGCATAGCAACCTGATGAGGACTGTTGTAACAAAAGCAAAAGATCGCCGTTATGACGGGTCTTCAGTGATGGATCCAGAACTCTTCAAAAAAGTGGGAAACTTAACTTTTGAACAACTATCTAGCCTTCGACATCGTGGTGCCTTTTCCACAGTCTCCTTGACATTTGCTAGATGCTGTCAGCTTTCACAATGCCATGCCTCGAGCGACTTGCTTGAAGTCTGGTACAAAGTACGTGATTCCCCTTCGTTCACCTTAGCTACCGTCAAACTAATGATTAGGGCGCACTAAAATGTATTTTCGAACAAGCGTCTACAACACGCAGATCTGCAGGAATCCCCGCACTAGTTACTGGAATACTTTCCGCAAACAGTAAAAGTCCAGCTTTCGAAGATGTAATGGCAGAGCTAAAATCTTTGGCTGGGCGTCCTGTTACGTTATCTGAGACTGATGAAACAAATTTACCTCAAGTGCATGCAATGAACTGTGTAAAAGAGATATTCAAAAGCTCTACATTGGGCAAGAGATCAGATAAACATATCCCGGACTGTTTACAACTGGCTGCGGACAGCTTGACTTCTGAAATGTATGACACCAATGTCTACAGACTGATTATGTGCTAATTGAATTGAAACAGTTGGGCAATAAGAAACTGTGGTTTACTGCTGTTAAGGAGTCTAATTGACTGTCTGTTTGGTACTAACGAAAACAAAGCTTCTATCGAGGCTGGCTGGGATGGCCGTTCGACGAAACTTTCATACGAAAAATACCCAGAGCTGCCTGAGATCTTGCTAAAGTTATTAAACAAAGAGACTCCAAGCACGGAGGAAAACAATACCCCTGCGATTGGCGCTATAGAGTCAGTCTTTCCCTCGTTGGATATCATTCGTCGCGCGGGTCCACCAGTTTTACTTCGCAACGAAATCAAGGAAAGGGTATCTATACATTTGGGAAGCAAGTACTGGCATACTAGAGAACTAGCAGCCCGTACTATGTGTACATTTATGCTTCACGATGAGTGGCTACCTGATCTACAGAACCTGCTCAGAATATCGAACCCATCTACTAATTATACCCATGGAGTTTTGATGACGACCAATTTTGTCCTGGAACGCCGTCTTACTGTGTTCTCGAGCCCTCCAAGTATGTAGTGAATACTCGCTTTTATTTCTTAATCCTAATTGTGAAATGTAGGCGTTCAAGACCTTATCTGTCTGAAAGATAATATCGAGGCATTGAGTCACCTTGGTCAGTGTCCAGAAACTTTGGCGACATACATCGACTTCAAAAATCTCATTTACCAGATTCTCCTCGCTCTTCCAGTCTCCACTTTGAACAGTGATGCTCGAGAAAAGCTCATCGACAATCATGATTCACACAATTTGTTGTTGAATGGTGATGGTTGTAGCTACTCCAAAGTTAATACTGATCTTTCTTGCGAAAAAGGCCGAGTAGGAGGCGCTTTGTTACATCAAGCAACCGCCCGGGAAGCTGTATATATATCTGGATTAACCAAGGATATACAAGCTCTCAAGAAGGCTTTGAACGATTATTGCGATATAGATCTCGATACAGCTACCGCATCCTTGGAATGCGTGCTACAAGCCTGGA